TAACAATCAGATTATCTCAATTTATGGGAGATAACTCCAACTAAGTCTTTTATTCTATAGTCTTAGATACATGATTTTTTTATTAGTTGCTATTTGCTTTGAACTAGCATCCAGTAACTGTAAGTACTCTCAGATCTGTACTTTGTGTCTTTTGTGTTTTTGTGCTTTGTATCGATCTGATGAGTTTTTTTTATAGTTTGTTGAACTTTGTTCTTATGTTGTGCTGTTACACCACTGTCCTAGGTAATGGTGGAGGGTGGGACGTCTGAAAACATGTTAACCCCACCACTTTCAGGGTCCTGTAATTCAGTGGGTGTAGTTAGATGCTGTATGTGTCTGTCCAAAGTCAGGGTCCTGTAATTCAGTGGGTGTAGTTAGAGGCTGTATATCATATCTGTTTTTCCATTATTGTTTTGTACATAAATCAGGCTATTGGTTTTCTCGTTTCAGGGCCTTTAATAGCTTACTATGCGGTATGGGTTTACTCATTGTTGAAGGCTGTACGGTGAACTCTAGTTGTCAACTTCTACATCATATGGTCTCTGGTGGAGAGTTGTCTCATTGGCAATCATACCACATCTTCTTATTTTTATATTAAGTGAATGTCATACTTAACAATTTTTACAGTTACAGAAATACAAGGGTATAAGTTATAACTCCATATAATTGTCCTCTTGGGAACATCATGAAAACAACAAGAATCAAATCAGACAATCTTACGACATCATTATTGTGAGACAAACTGGGTTTACTAACATGAATGAAAAGTAAAATAACAAAAATACCGAAACTCCAAGGAAAATTCAAAACAGAAAGTCCCTTATCAAATAGCAAAATCAAAAGCTCAAACACATCAAACGAATGGAAAACAACTGTCATATTCCTGACTTGGTACAGGCATTTCCTTATGTAGAAAATGGTGGATCAAACCTTGTTTTATAGCTAGCTAAACCTCTCACTTGTATGACAGTCGCGTAAAATTCCAGTTTATTGAATATAATCTGTCATAATTGTTTGTAGTATTGTGATAAAATGATACATTTAATTACAAGTAATTTAAGTAAGTAAGTAAGTACCGGTAGTTTTATTGAAATAAAGGCCAAACATTGGTCTATCTTCAATTACAACATTAACATATAAAAATAATGAGCAACAAAATTAATATCACTGATACTATGGTTGAAGACATTTAGAGTTATCTCCCATGATAAATATTTCATGTTTGATTAAAAATACCATCATTGTAATTTAATGTAACAATACTAACATTCCATGTTATATAAATCAATTTTTCCTAATAAATACGGGATAAAAACAGGAGTTCTAACCTCATCAAAACATATGTGTTGGGTTAAATACTGTAGAATTTTACAATTCATTTTTAAATAAATATTATACAATTACTGTCTTTTGGTGAGGTGAATCTGCAGTTTTACTAACTTTTGAAAAACTAATATTCACTGAGGCTGACAGCCGAGGTGAATATCAGTTTTTCAAAAGTCAATTAAACCAATTATTTACTGAATCAAAAGACAGTAATTGTTTTATTCCATATTCCGAGAGAAAACAATATATTGAATGACAAATATTTTCCAAAACCAATTGTACATCAAACATTTTACCATAACGGTACATGTAAATCCTTGTGACGTTTAGCATGGTGAATATCACTTTTCTCCAGGTTATTCAAAACCAATTCATATAGTAAGAGAAACCTACTTAAATAATACCAATATGGAATAATATTTAATTATAGCCTATGTACGAGGTTGATAAGAGGATATATCGACCTGAAAGAAGTATATCTACTGTGGAGTAAGAATGAGATAGATATATTTCTTAAGGTCAGTATATCTTCATATCCACCTCACACAAAGGCTACAATTGTTATATCATAATTGTCAATCTGCCAGAAATAGAGTAGAAATTCATTTTATTGGCTGTTATGATTGCCACAAAGTATTGATCTTTGAGATTTCTATTTTTAAATAGTTCAAAAATAACTGTGAAATATCACTTTTCTATCTGCCATTTTCAGTCTATATTTGAAAATACAGTTGAACATGTGACACTTTCTGATCCAATCAAATTAGTTGGAACTTACAAAATAATAATATGACACTTCATAAAAAGAATGCCTGTAATATAACACATGGGTTATATGTTTTCTTTTTCATTCAGCTGCAGAACCCATAAACGAATTCTTCAGTACTACGAATGGTGGTTTGAAGTTGGATCTTCGTATAGGCTGAACCCTAGCATGTTTTCTGTTAAAAAAAAACCTGTTAAACTGATAACAATCCTTATGGCATAGGCCTGGATTTCTATAACATAACTTTCTGGGTCATATGGATTTCTTAAAATATATTGGACACCAACAATTTAAATCAACAATCAGATAAATATGGCAAGTGATAATTAACAATCAGTGCGTCTTAAAAACAACAACCTTCTCATTCTTTCTTAGAATTTATTGACCATGTTGACCTTAAGTTAATGTATCTTGGGCAAATTCATACTTTTTCCTCAACAGCAAAAAATGTGTTTGGGAGTTTGACTTTGTCATTCATCAGATCTCTGATAGCTTTCACGGTACCTAGGATTTTTACTTTTTATCCAATATGGATAACATTTCATAAATTAAGCTGTTTACTCAGATGCATGTTAAAGTTCACTGCAAAAAACTAAGTCCCTCATTCATTAAAATACTGCAAAAGAAATTAAAAAAAATTTCAAAAGTTTGATTCAGATGTTATATGTTAATCACCACATAAAAGCCTGTCTCATAGTTGTCTACAATTCTCTGAAGGTTTGACAAATTTTTGATTTCTAAAAAAAACTTTAACCCTACACTGTTTCTAAATAAACTCATCATAGATACTAGGATTGCAATTTTGTATTTGCGCCAGACGCGCGTTTCGTCTACAAAAGACTCATCAGTGACGCTCGAATCAAAAAATATTAAAAAGGCCAAATAAAGTATGAAGTTGAAGAGCATTGAGGACCAAAAATTCCTAAACGTTTTGCCAAATACAGCTAAGGTAATCTATTCCTGAGGTAGAAAAGCGATACTGAAAATGATAACTACAAAAAAAAAAATAAGCCCTTTATCTGTTAAATAAGAAAAAATAAAAAGTATTTTTTAAATTTTGCTTTGGATACTTTCTTATGATCATAAAAGAGCTTCTGTACAAGTTTCATAAAATTACAGGAATGTTTGACAAAGTTATTTATTTAAATTAAAGCTTTAACCACAGACTGAACCTAAATGATGACGATGCTGACACAGGCAACAGAATGTAGGATCGCTATGTCTAGCTTTTGCAACAAAATGTCACATGCATCAATAATAAACAGCTGCGCCATGAGCGCATGATACGCCTGTCGTCTTGTGTGTGAATTTTTATGCAATAAGCATAAATAGTTTCTGACATACGGCGTGACATGCGAAAACCCCCCTTTTTTTTTACAAAAAACTTAATATCTCTAAAATAAAATTTTGAATCAAAACCAAAAAGTATACAGATCTTTAGATTAATATAACTAAGAAGTGTGTAAAATTTTAAGCAATAATCATAAATCGTTTTTGAGATACAGCGCGACATGTGAAAACCCCCCTTTTAAAAAAAAAAATCAATATCTCAAAAATAAAATTTTGAATCAAAACCAAAAAGTATACATATCTTTAGATTAATGTAACTAAGAAGTGTGTAAAATTTTAAGCAATAATCATAAATCATTTTTTGAGATACGGCGCGACATGTGAAAAAACCACTCCCCCTTTTTTTACAAAATACTCAATAACTCAAAAATAAATTTTGAATCATCACCAAAAAGTATACAGATCTTAAGGTTAATATAACTAAGAAGTCTAAAGTTTTAAGCAATAATCCTACACTGTTTTTGAGATACGGCGCGACATGTGAAAAACCCCTCCCCCTTTTTTAACAAAATACTCAATATCTCTAAAATAAAATTTTGAATCATCACCAAAAAGTATACAGATCTTAAGATTAATATAACTAAGAAGTGTGTAAAATTTTAAGCAATAATCATAAATCGTTTTTGAGATACGGCGCGACATGTGAAAAAACCACTCCCCCTTTTTTTACAAAATACTCAATAACTCAAAAATAAATTTTGAATCATCACCAAAAAGTATACAGATCTTAAGGTTAATATAACTAAGAAGTCTGTAAAGTTTTAAGCAATAATCCTACACTGTTTTTGAGATACGGCGCGACATGTGAAAAACCCCTCCCCCTTTTTTAACAAAATACTCAATATCTCTAAAATAAAATTTTGAATCATCACCAAAAAGTATACAGATCTTAAGATTAATATAACTAAGAAGTGTGTAAAATTTTAAGCAATAATCATAAATCGTTTTTGAGATACGGCGCGACATGTGAAAAAACCACTCCCCCTTTTTTTACAAAATACTCAATAACTCAAAAATAAATTTTGAATCATCACCAAAAAGTATACAGATCTTAAGGTTAATATAACTAAGAAGTCTGTAAAGTTTTAAGCAATAATCCTACACTGTTTTTGAGATACGGCGCGACATGTGAAAAACCCCTCCCCCTTTTTTAACAAAATACTCAATATCTCTAAAATAAAATTTTGAATCCTCACCAAAAAGTATACAGATCTTAAGATTAATATAACTAAGAAGTGTGTAAAGTTTTAAGCAATAATCATAAATTATTTTTGAGATACGGCGCGACATGTGAAAAAAAACACACACCTGTTTTAGTTACTAAGTCCCGTAACTCAAAAAGTTTTAATCTTATTTTCACCAAAAAGTATACAGATTGTTTGACCATCATAAGAAACAACTATGTTAATTTTCATGAAATTTGGATAAGTCATTCTGAAGTTACGGTGCGACATGTTTACGCCGGACAGACAGACAGACGGACGGACACCAGACATTTGTATACCATAATACGTCCCGTCAAAAATTGACAGGCGTATAAAAATTCGTGCCACAAATCTATGAATAAAAGAAGTTTGACAGTAACTCTCACAATTTAAACAGTAAATTGCACAGAATTTTATGCACCATCATCCAGAACAGAACATAAATCATAAAATCACTGGGTATCAATGTGGACCTATCACATGGCGTAATAGTAGTTTACAGACTGGCTTATTCTTTCAGCTAACAACACTTTCATTGACAGTTATTGAAGAGGACATGAACTTGCTTCAAGTTTCAGCTAAAAACACTTTCATTGACAGTTATTGAAGAGGACATGGACTTGTTTCCAGTTTCAGCTAAAAACACTTTCATTGACTTGAAAAGGACATGGACTTGTTTCCAGTTTCAGCTAATTACATTTTCATTTACAGTTGTTGATGAAGTGGACTTGCTTGTTTGAGTTTCGTGTGATTCATGAACTGCTTCGTGTAGTATAAGTTCTTGTTCAATCAAATTAAGATTGTCCTTATTTTTGGTCTCTGCAAACCAAGCTAAATAAGTATTCCAAAATATTGATACTACATTCACTGCTAAAACCCTGAAATAGAATAATTCTTAAATTCTAAGCTGGACATGATATAAAACTTAAAAACACAATTAGAGAACAATAATTCTAAAACATATACTGTAAACTCAGAAATTATTGCAATGTTTTTATTATTTGTGAATAAACAGCTGCGCCATGAGCGCATGATACGCCCTTCGTCTTGTGTGTGTATAGCATAAATAGTTTCTGACATATGGCGTGACATGCGAAAACCCCTCTTTTTTTTTACAAAAAACTAAATATCTCTAAAATAAAATTTTGAATCAAAACCAAAAAGTATACAGATCTTAAGATTAATATAACTAAGAAGTGTGTAAAATTTTAAGCAATAATCATAAATTGTTTTTGAGATACGGCGCGACATGTGAAAACCCCCCCTTTTAAAAAAAAAAAAAATCAATATCTCAAAAATAAAATTTTGAATCAAAACCAAAAAGTATACAGATCTTTAGATTAATATAACTAAGAAGTGTGTAAAATTTTAAGCAATAATCATAAATCGTTTTAGAGATACGGCGCGACATGTGAAAAACCCCTCCCCCTTTTTTTACAAAATACTCAATAACTCAAAAATAAAATTTTGAATCATCACCAAAAAGTATACAGATCTTAAAGTTAATATAACTAAGAAGTGTGTAAAGTTTTAAGCAATAATCATAAACTGTTTTTGAGATACGGCGCGACACGTGAAAAACCCCTCCCCCTTTTTTAACAAAATACTCAATATCTCTAAAATAAAATTTTGAATCATCACCAAAAAGTATACAGATCTTAAAGTTAATATAACTAAGAAGTGTGTAAAGTTTTAAGCAATAATCATAAACTGTTTTTGAGATACGGCGCGACACGTGAAAAACCCCTCCCCCTTTTTTAACAAAATACTCAATATCTCTAAAATAAAATTTTGAATCATCACCAAAAAGTATACAGATCTCAAGATTAATATAACTAAGAAGTGTGTAAAGTTTTAAGCAATAATCATAAATTGTTTTTGAGATACGGCGCGACATGTGAAAAAAAACACACATCTGTATTAGTTACTAAGTCCCGTAACTCAAAAAGTTTTAATCTTATTTTCACCAAAAAGTATACAGATCTTTTGACCATCATAAGAAACAACTATGTTAATTTTCATGAAATTTGGATAAGTCATTCTCAAGTTATGGTGCGACATGTTGACGCCGGACAGACAGACGGACAGACAGACAGACAGACGGACGGACGCCGGACATTTGTATAACATAATACGTCCTGTCAAAAATTTGACGGGCGTATAAAAATGCGACAGGGTTATAATTGCAATAATGTTGAAATTTTTTACATGAAGTAAACAGGATTTTTCTCAATATCGCAAAAATTAAAATCGCATTTTAGTCTAAAATGACAAAATCGCAATAATAAATGCACGCAATAATTTCTGAATTTACAGTATTCAGAATTCCGAAATCTTAGCAGACTTACTTTCAAACATTTGCAATTCATATTTCTAAATGGTTACTCGTGTTCTGTAACTCCCAAACAGTTTTCCTTAGAAATGCATTATAAAAATGTATCCACTAACCATATATTTGTTTTTGAAATTTTGAAAGCTACAAACTACATACACCTTTGGCGAACTATTTACTTCTTGTAATTCAGTATGAACTTTTTTTGTAATTTTTGTAATTTAGTCTAGACTTTTATTTTGTAAATTTTGTAATTTGGTTCAATTTTTTTTGTAATTCTTGTACATCAGTCTAGGTTTTCAGTCAAGACTGTTTTTGCATTTCTTGTTATTCAGTCTTAACCTTTTTTTGTAATTTTTGTAATCCAGCCGAGACTTTTATGTTAATTCTTGTTGTTTAGTTCAGACTTTTTTTTAATTCAGCCAAGACTTTTTTTGTAATCCTCGTAATTCAGTCTAGACTTTTTTTGGTAACTTTTGTAATTTGGTTAGACTTATTTTGTACTTCTTGTACATGTTTTTCAGTCTAGTTTTTTTGTAATTCTTGCAATTTAGCCAAGACTTTTATGGTAATTCTTGTGAATCAGTCTACACTTATTTTTTGTAATTCTTGTAAATCATTCTTGAGCTTTTTCGTAGTTCTTGTAATTCAGCTAAGACTTCCTTTTTTGTAATTCGTGTTTTTTCCATCTGGACATTTTCTTAAATTTTTACATTGACTTCACACCATAAATACTGTATGAGAAATCCTTAGAAATTTTGTTCCCACCCAAACAATTATATATCTCAAAACAAGGAATTTTCCTTTAATTTTTTTATTTTGTGTATTGTCTCTTGAAAAATCTAAATACTAAGAAATAATTATTAGTTATAATATCTGTAGCTAGTATCATTATCTTTTTTTTTTATCTAACTAACTTTTTCATATTCATTCGACGTATAAATATTTAACAGATCCATTCAATGTTAAAGTGAGATCCAGTTGTTTGCCACAGTAATTTTTACTCTTATAACCACCACATAGTCAATGGACGTAAGTGTGTCTACATGTGCATTGTTTAAAATCATGGAGTCTTTAAATACATTTTCATATTCTCTTACTTCTCCTAAACTTGGATATACATCTGCAATTTCATATATATCAAATTTTTTAAAAATTTCTTTTAAAATTCTTGGAAAGTTTTAATAGTGTAAATTGAAAAATAAAATGTTTATACCTAACCTTAAAATCAAATTGATGTGGCCTTAATATGCTTACCTGTGTTGTAAAGGCACAAACATAAAGTTACAAATCTGAACCGCTGGCCACACCTGAAAAATATAACAGTTGGTCAAAGGGACATAACTTTTAATTACATATTCACAGTTTATTCTCAATCTTTACAAATGTTTTGATATAAAACAGTTTGATTTATAGTAATTAATATCAAAATGTTCACATTAGTTTGTTTTGATCACCTGATCTGTGTCCGCCATAATTTTAAGTGAATCATCCTTAATCTTAAAAAAAAATCCAATTATCTTTCACTTATTCCCTCAATATCAGGAAGGGTGAATGTTCAATGATTGCGGGTGATTCTCTCATAAATACCTATTTTTATATTCAATAGATATCACTTGACAAGGTTGCAAATCAGATTGTTAGCACTTTCAATCATCTACTTTCACTCTACTTCACTGTTATTCTCTTGGAAAGGATGATTTCAAACCTCAGGCATGATATTTATACCCTTTTTCCTTTCCGTGGTTTTATATTTGACTGTAATTTGACCTCCAGGTATGCCAATTTCTGCCTTCTTTTTCCATCAACAAATTCTGTCTGTATACACTTTATTCAATCAAATTAAACATATCTGTCAGACAATTCTTTATACTGATAAGTTTGGTTGTGAAAAATCATCTCTAGATGCATGGTCACTAAACACTAAGAGAAAGATAGATTGGATTTTTTTTTATTGGATTATGGATCACACACTGAATCATGAATCACATACTAGGATCATGGATCACACACTAGGATCATGGATCACACACAAGGATCATGGATCACACTTTAGGATCATGGAACAAACACTCAATCATGAATCACATACTAGGATCATAGAACACACTAAAACATGGATCACATACTAAGATCATGGATCACATACTAAGATCATGGATCACAAACTAAGATCATGGATTACAAACTAGGATCATGGATCACAGACTAGGACCCTTGATTATAAACTAGGATCATGGATCACAGACTAGGACCATTGATTATAAACTAGGATCATGGATCACAGACTAGGACCATTGATTATAAACTAAGATCATGGATCACAAACTAGGACCATTGATTATAAACTAAGGTCATGAATCACACACTAGGACCATTGATTATAAACTAAGATCATGGATCAAAAACTAGGATCATGGATCACAAACTAGGATCATGGATCACAAACTAGGATCATGGATCACAAACTAGGATCATGGATCACAGACTAGGACCATTGATTATAAACTAGGATCATGGATCACAGACTAGGACCATTGATTATAAACTAGGATCATGGATCACAAACTAGGATCATGGATCACAGACTAGGACCATTGATTATAAACTAGGATCATGGATCACAAACTAGGATCATGGATCACAGACTAGGACCATTGATTATAAACTAGGATCATGAATCACAGACTAGAACCCTTGATTATACACTAGGATCATGGATCACAGACTAGGACCATTGATTATAACTAGGATCATGAATCACACCCTAGTGTTTTATTGACATTGATATAACCTTGAAATCAAGTATCTACAATATCAACTCACCTTATAATTTGCTTTCATTACTGGTATAAAATCCTGAAATAGACAAAATTGTGCATTATAACAAAAATATTAGCACAATATTTCAAGTTATTGCTATGTTTATGTTAAAAGTGCTCAAAACTAAGAAACCATAGGAGCTGGCTGGGTTCTGATATTAAAGATTACTTTTGAAAACAAAAGATATAAAGCACAATTAAAATCAGTTCAGAAAAGAAGACTTTAATATCCATGTTACTATTATCATAGACAGCAATAATACAGCCTCTTACTATACATGAGTGCAGTGTTAAAGTTTATGAATTGAAATGGTGAAAAGATTTGAACAACTTTTGAAAATATCAAACTTTACAGTTGTAAAATAGTGGATTGCAGGATGAAAATATGTATGTTGTCTCCTTTGAAAATCATAGTATGTGCAACCTAATTGCCCTGTTTTAATCATTTGGGTGAATCATAAGTATTATCTCCGTGAAATGTCATGTACCTCTTTAAAACATCCTAGACTACCATTTTGTTGTAATTTAACTTGAATATAAGAACATTTGCATTTAAGTACAACATTTCGGATTTAAATAGACAATAATCATCTAATTGGTGAGAAATGCATTCAAACAATTTTTAATTGGCAATGAATTTAGAAAACATGCATTAATGGCTGTCTGATTGCCAGGGACAAGTGAAAGTCATCATCTGACAATAAAAGCAGCAGTGTACTTGTAAATTTTGCAAGTATGGGTTTTTCTCATTGTTGAAGGCTGTATGATTGCCTATAATTGCTTACTGCCACTTCATTTGAACTTTGGTGGATAGTTGTCTCATTGGCAATCATACCACATCTCCTTATTTTTATATTAAAGTAAAATGAAAAGTTAAAGATAATTAACACCAAATGTTAAATTATACTCTTTTAATTAGACAAATCATCATATCAATCAACCTGACAATATGAACAAATTCTGTTTTAGTATTTTCCCTTTCTAACTATAGGCATGGTATAAAATTGACCAATCAGAGGATAATTCCAGGGGTTCAAATTTGCTTTAAATAATGAAAGGTCCAGGACCATTTGAAATTTTAAGTGAAAGGTCCTGCATAAGAAATCAACGGTTGTGTATAAAGCATCAGTGTAAAGAATGGTAGGTCCTTGACTTTTGTAATTTATAAATGAAAAGTCCTCTCCTAGAAAAGACAGGTCCCGGACCTCGGACCCACACTAATTTGAACCCCTGAATTCTGTTGTTGACACATTCTTTGATGAACCAATCAAATTATACCTAGCTATTTAAGAATAACTATCCGAGAGATAATGATAACAATTTTTAATATCATTAATTTTCAAACCCTTGAACATGTTGAACATAAATGACATAAAAGAAGTTAAGAAAATGTATATAAAGAGGACATGATTCTTATTAGCAAATCATATGGTCTCTTCCTTCTTTAGCTTAGTCCGATAGAGCACTGGCTTGTAACATGTGTAATACCTAAGTCCTGGGTTAGAGTCCCGGAGGAGACAATGTTCTAGTAATAATCATGCTCTCCAGTTAGGGAAGGAAAGGGTTTCTCTTGTTAAAAAATATACGACATTCGCTTCAGTATTAATCCAAGATTATTCCAGGAAATTTAAATTAATCCCAGTGTTTCATTGGAAAGAGAGCAAATTTCGTTAAAAATATAATTCCTGAGCCCTGTGAATTAAAGTGGAACAACAGCTAAAGAAAAAGAGAGGCAAAGGATACCAAAGGGACATTCAAACTCACAGGTCAAAAATAAACTGACAATGCCATAGCTAAAAAAGAAAAAAAAAACAAACAAACAACAGTACACAAAACACAACATAAAAACCAAAGACTGAGCAACACCAACTAACTCTTGCAAAGTTTTTTCGAGAAAAAAAACTGACAGCTGAAAATATGAAACCAAAACTATAACAAGAGGCTGTCAGAGTGACAGCAAACCAGATTTTCCTGCAGAGGTCAAACCCTGAACAGTTGAGCAAGTATGGACACAACATTTAAGCTTAAAACAGCTCTGAATTTGGATTGTGATTGAATATTTGACACAGCATAGGTTTGTTACACAAAATGAATGTGGTCAAAGAACTGAAAAATTTGAAATCGGACATTTACCTTTTATGGTCCAATATCCAAAATCTAAGTACATTGTTAGAATCAGCATATCAAAGAACCCCAAGAATTCAATTTTTGATGAAATCAAACAAAAGTTTAATTTAGGACCATTTGGACCTCAATGTGGTATTATCTAATTAATAATGCAAATAAATATAGGTTTAGATTCAGCATTTCAAAGAACCCTTTATATATTCAATTTATGTTGAAATCAAACACAGTTTAATTTTGGAAACCGATTTGGACTAACTTGAAAACTGGGCCCAAAATCAGAAATCTAAATATATGTTTATTAATTGACAATATAAGCTTAGTTTTTAAAGGAGTTCCCTTCATCAAAAAAAATATATATATGTTGCATTCAGAAAATTAGTTTATACAGAATAACAAACAAACCTACCACAAAATTCTTCAAACAATTTACCAAAGAAAAGAAAAAAAAATCCAAAATGTCATTTATCATTAATACAATGTCTTTTAAAAATCTATAAAACTTATCTGTAATTATCTTCAAAATGTCTAATAATGAACAGTAAATTTCAAACTATATTAATACCGTCCTACAGAGCTTATCATCATCAACACTTAGGAAACAGAAAATTTCAAATAAATCTGTCACTCCAATTATAATTGTATGATTGATATTTACCACATGCTTTCTTATCTGATAACAGGTGAAAATTATTTAAAAACACTTGGTGTAATCAAACTTTATATATATATTTAATAGTTCCCAATATTTTTTCTTTCATTTGTCACAAACTAATATAGATCTGCAACTTATCTATCAATGTCAACAACTTTATCTACACAATGTAATGTAATGAAATTTATCCTTTAATAAAAATAGATTACTATCTAATGAAAATGATATTTGCAAATCTGGACCCCCAAACAGGATCAGTAAAAATTAAACATTAACACACACAACAAAAATAAAATACCACATAACAACTGTGACATCTACCTTCAAAACACACATGACTTAAAAAAATAGTTATAAAGAAATTTTTGACAACTCCTGACTAAAATCAATTGAACAGATACAATCATTGATAGACTATCTATACATAAATTTATTAATTACACCATTTCTGTTCAAAGGGAAATAACTCAATCATATAATAAATATCACTTTTGGCTACTGAAAGGTCTACAACTCAAAGTTTTCATGTTAATGAACAGACACTGTTTGGCAGCCGCCTGCCGTACATCCCTAAATTAATAACCGATTTTTCCTTCGAAAATCTGGTTAAAAATATGAAAAAGATGAATATGAGATTTATTGAATGCTAAAAAGACACTTTTAGGGAAATTGGAGATGGTGTAGATTGGATTATCTGTAAATACTATACAAGACATAATAGAATTTGACCAATGTAGATCTGAAATCAAACGAACAACATGTTGATTATAAAAAAATAATCAACCAGTCGAGGAAAGCATTAATTGGCAAAGAATTAGAGAAACTATAATACTTATATATATCCAGTTTTGATTTCTTTCACTACCATAAAAAATGACTATTAATAATATTTTTACCTTTTTAACTTGATTTTTGAACTCATCAACTGTTTCTCCTCTCAAAAATCCCATAGTTCCAAGAAAAAATGGCAAGAACACTGGAGCGAAACATCCCTGTAAGCAGAAAATAGACAATTAAATATATTACTGCAAAAACTAAACAAAAGATGAATCTTTATAGTAGACCTGAAATATTTGACAAGAGAAAAAAGCATGTCATTAAAGTCATGAGTTGGAAATTGGTTTACAACAAAAATAAGACCTAGCCTTAATTTGTTAGATTTACCAATCTGTAATGGTAAAAGTTTTTTTCTCTCGCCAAATATTTTGCCATTACCTGTTTCTAATAAGGATTGGATATACTGTGCTCAGTTGAATCCTATTAAATTTTGACAGACTTCAGTGTGAAAATAAGAAAATGATCAGTTAGGATTTTTCAAGATTTTCACTTTTTTTATCATTGTTGTAAACACATGTCCTATAAAAAAAAAACAAAAAAAAACACTGAATGTTCATGGTCTGATGAAACAGGTAGTGACAAAATCTTCATGTGATTCACAGTACTGTGGATTCATTATAATTCATGGGATAATCATTTTCGTTGATTTCCTGGGTATAAGTAATCCACAAAGTTAAATGTTCAACAAAGTACATATATCCTAAAAGTTTTAATTCAGACTTTGGAAAAAATATGAAATCAAATATCCATGAAAAAGTTTTCCTCGATACACCAAAAATTGGTAGCCTTGAAAATAAATGAACTTCCAACAATGCAAGTTTAGAATCTACTCAAAAAGGTTAAAGTAAATGATATTTTCATATCAAATTTTTAAATGGCTGAAAAGAAGACTCAAAAGCAGTTATCATGAATGAAAACAAGTCAGATAAATCTGTAAGTGTACTAGTAGTACCATCCTATAACAGGAAAATTATCTAAGCATAGTAAATCTTCAATTAAGGGGAGTTAATACAATAATTTCCCAATGTAAAATTGTTATTTAAGTGATTTCAGATATGTTGTAGATCGAGTAAAGTTCAATGTTCAAAATATCAAACATAATTTACTGTGCTTTTTTTTGGTAGAAAAAAGAAGTTCAAAATTGGAAATATTTGTAATTGCATTGAAATTTTTTACCTTTGAGATTCTTTAATCTGGCATTTATATCAGTGGTGATTTAGCCAAATCAGTTTTATTTAATAATTGGGATAAATGTGCATTATACAAAATTAAATACATGTCAGGAGACTATCTTATTTTAAAACTTGAGTGAATTTTTGTACAACATGCCAACATAAGTGAAATTCATCAACTTTTTTTGAGCATTTTTACAAGTTTCTCATATTTTCTTTTAAAAAAAATGTTTATGTCATCTTTTGTTGTGAATTTAGCAATAAACATATAAAAAGTATGTGTTACAGCGCTTATATAAGACAAAACTTTAAAAGTTGTTCCTGAAAGTGTGTTTCCTCAATAGACCACTTTGGAGTTATGTCCTTCACCGGAAAAGTTCCGTCAATTATGCGCGCCTTTAAGACGTCACATACCAGATAGAGGGGATCGCCTGTATCCCTGCACTATTTAAGTTCATCAAGCGTCTATGTGATCGTCATTATGCAGGATAAAAAACTATAAATAATGTTTGTTCTGTAGGTACTTAATCAAAATTCCCTAATGACAGCAGTGCTGATTATCAATTATAAGAATTTTATTTGCCGAATAATTTGTGCAATATAGTATCATATTTTTTCTACTGCTTGCTCAACATGGGAAGGAAGTGACGATGCCCCTAAACGCACGAATGATGTTCACTAAAACCTAAGCTTTTGACGGAAATGCAACGAACTCGAAAGTGGTCTATTGATGCCTAATATTTAGCAAGAAAATTGTTTTTCGGAAAAGTTGCCGTCTCCCACTTAATTCTAATTTTTTTTACCTAAAGTAAACAATGCAGAGCCATGAACTGAACAATTTTTGGGAAATTTCAACTTTACAAGGGACCTTAATTTTTCCACAACTTGTAGTTGTAAATTCATATGGCCACTTATTCTACATGACTCTGATTATCAATAACAAGTTTATTTCACCAGAAAATTTTTATCTGGTTTCTTATATAGTGAATGAAATGAACAAAAATTCCACATATTGCAATAGTTTACTAAGTAAGTTCGATTATCTCCCTTTTAAAACCCAAACTATTATCTCTATGTATAACTAATGGTGATTTCTCAACACAACCAATACCTGCAATTATAACAGAGCTCTGTTCTCTAACCGAGTTGTAGCCTGAAATTGCTCTTGGATTGGCATTGCTGGAAAATAAGTAGTGGTGTTGTTTTTATTTTAAAACCTGGTATATTTTTATTAGTAAATTAAAAACCACACTTTAGCTTTTTAATTTATTTGATTTTGTTTTTTGGATTTCTGTCTCATAAATGTTCAACTATTTGGAAATATTAACAAAAATCATTAAAACTTTTAAAATAGTCATGCAATAGTATGCTATCAAGTGACCTTGACTTATACCCTTTGACCTTGCTCTAAATTTTGTGAATAAAGGAGGCAAGATGAGGTAAAATTGATTGATTAAGAGTTTATAACCGAACTCGATTTATTTTATTCAATTCAAAATATCTAATAAACAGAAGAATTATTAAAAAAAACCAGGAACATTAAACATAACAAATAATAAAAATCATGGATTTTAACTATTGACCAAATATTTTTCGTGTATATGTTAAACTCAAATATTTTATACTATAAAACAACAACAAAGTTGGTAAATTATGAAAAACAAATTGCTGAAAATTTTTTTTTGGTATTAGAATTTCAAGTATAATTATTATAATAATACATCTTAAATATTCTAAATAAATATTTAAAACTACTGTTCTAGCATTTGTCATACAAACATTATAGGCATTCTATACAAATTATATGAGATAAGTCCCAAATATTTTCTTCTAAACTGGATGTTTTATAATATATATGAATTATCTCCCTTTTCAAACACATTGTAAAGAATGCTGTATACTAGAGGAGTAACGATTTATCAAAACATACTGAATCACAGAAATTTTCCTCATGGTTTGATTCAAGGTCCAAACCATATAAAAATATGTATTCACATCCAAAAGAGACATCGCTGGGTATAAATTTTTTCTTACTTCAGGAAATGCATAAAGAATAAGTTCAAATAAAATAAAATAAATGTTCATTCTTTTTTTTAATTTTTGTTGATAGAAGAGGGCCCCTTATACAAATGATAAAAATATCAAAATGGCAACCATTGAGAACATTTTTCTTCATAATGTGGACTGTGGTATGTTTCAAATCTTTCCTGATTTATTACAATATAAACAGTAAATGCAGAAATTTTTTCTATGTTCCTATTTATATCGCCAAAATTGATTTAGGTTTCGCAAAAAAAAAAACTTACATTTTAAATTTTGATACATTGTTTGTATGTTAGCAGTATTTCCTGAAATTGCAATAATTAATCTTCAATTTTGTCCATTGTTCAACATTTGCTATACAATGTATTAAAACGTACGCCAACAATTCTAAATCTACAATACCGAAAAAGATATGTAGTGTATCATTACACCTCTATTGTATATAATATAAAAAAGCTTTAAGCAAGTGAGATATTGAAAAGAAGGAAGACAATGTTTGATTATCAAACATCACTTTCTATATTCAAGATCGAAAAAAAATTCATAGTCCATTTTCATCATCAGTGACATCTTTTGAAGATCAATGTTAAAAATAGGATAATTGCTTGATTATTGGTGAATATTGTTTCTAGCTTGCTAGAGCAATATCTATTCTATAAGTGATAATATTCCCCAGTATTCATGCAATAACCCTTTATAGTGTACAGCAAATCTTGAAAAACTGTTTAAAAAATATTTTTGTCACTGATGTTTTTATTATTGAAAAATTGCTAAATAACAGGTTTTTCAAAAATGTATTTTAAATAAACATTATTGTAAACAGCGTTTAGTGAAATCACAATAATTAATCTCACATTTTTGTAAACTTTTCAACAATGACAATAATAAATGCACACACAAACTTCTGAATTTACATTATATTGAAATAAGCCTGTTTACAAACCAAAGAAGTTTTCTCTGGACTATTTTCAGTTACCCGTAGGTATATAAAATTCATAATAACGCAGATTTATTTTTTTAAATACTTTGTGTTCAGTGGCACTGTTAATGCCTTCTTCCTTCTGTCATATCCACTTTTCAGATTTATCAAGGGAGATAATCCAATAAATATATAAATAATGTTATTAAATTGTGTATATCTTTACCTGATCAGCAATAACCATTTTGACAGGAGCATATTTTGTACCTCTAAATACTTTATCTATAGTTTTATACCACACTCTAAAAATTGGTCCCTGAAAAATTAAATAAACAATTATTTTTGTATTAAATTTGAAAATTAAATGACAATTTTTACAATGTTTGAAATGATTAATGTATCACAACTAAGTAGTAAATAGAAATGGTCAAATTGTAAAAAAACACTGAAATAAATTGTCTTTCAGCCAATTTGATATTGATCACAGATCAGTGATAGCTATAGGTTTCATATATGTCCATTGCCATGGACGAAATCTACATGGTATTAACCTTTGAAAGATATCAATGACCTTAAATTATTAAACAAATAGCCTATGGAAATGTCGTAATATCGTCTCATGATGCTGTATAAGCCAATCAAATTAACACATATTTTTGTATCATTTTTTCATATCACATTCCTTACAGGGTGATACAAGAAATATCACTTCATGCACGAAATAGATAACAGGCCACAACCATAAGAGAATCTCTGTTAAATTTATTCACACTTTTTACAATCAAGTCAATGTTCAGCTTGACATATTGTGTAGACCTTTCATTATTGTTATAGATTGTGTATGTTGACCTTGGATATGTTTTGTTTTTGTGTGTTATTGAATTGCTGTCTTATTGATGGGTATGATATTTACTGCATTTTCTTTTTCATATTTGTGTTATTCTCAAACATGTGAAAAAGTCCATTATCATGATTATTGAATTTTTAAAGGGAAACTCCGCAAAAAAATGAAAAATTGATATTTTGTTCTTAAAGCATAAAAAACCACATGTTCATAAATAAAAAACTTTTATTCTCTATGTAAAGAGATCAAAATCGATTTTTGAAATTCACTATCAGTTCTCAACATATCGCCATCTTGTCGGCATGTTCGATCTAAAAAGTCACGTGATATCTATAAACCACAAAGAACAAAATGAATCGGGGATTTACCGACCGTGCGTTAAAAACTCCCATCATCAATTGGGGATTACCGTAGACGGTTATTCAGTGTCAAATGTCTTGTCAAACGTACGGTTGTTCTGTCAGACAAGGTTATGTCAAAAGTCTACATAGTTTTCCCAATCCCACAAAAAAAGAAAGAATTGTATCAGACATGGCTGTACAACCTTAAACTAACAGCAAATAGTTGCATCTATAGCAAGCACAAGTTGGTGTGTGAAGACCATTTTGAACAATATTGTTTCGAGGGAGATTCGATGATTATTATCCTTTTTTAATAACTAAATAACCTAGCAGTTCTGATAGCTATAGTTATCAAATCCTTATATGATAAGATCTCGTTGGATAAAAAAAATATAGATTTGATGAGGAAGAACAGTTTCAATTATAAGAAAGACAAATGCAGTGTTCTTGTAACAATCACTGTTTTACAGAAGATTCATTAGTATGCCTCTTTTATATAAAGTGCATTGATTTGTATAAAGAATAGTTCCGTATTTAGACAAGATAATTTTTCAATTAATAAAGTTATACGATATAAAATAACATTTTTTTAATTATGATATTTAACGGCTATTGACAAGGAGCAATGTTGGGAAGAGGTTTTAGCTGGGACATAATATGTTGATATAGTATAATATTCCCAGGTTATAGATATGTAAATATCGAAATATCGGACATCTCAATTTTTTTTATTAAAAGTGGGTTTTTTTTAACTAATCTTTAAATTATATCAAATTGATACGGGATCAATTCGGAACGGTCACTTATAAAGACACTTAGCTTTACAGTTAAATGTGTGACTCTATCTGGTATGTTCGGTGAAAAATTTATAGGTTTTTTTTCTTTTTAATTTTATTTACGTTATCTTATTATATATATTTTTTTGGCTTCCTCCCGAATTGATAATAGGTATGTCAGAATTATATATTGATAGATGTCGTGTCAGAGCGACACATTCAGTTAGGTATTCCAAGGACGTATATTAGATACACGTCCCTGGGTATTCCAGTGACATCCTGTCAACTAAAAATTCGTACTACACAATTATATAATACAGGTTCATGCATGGCCTCTTTATTGAGGTACCCGGTGTGCACAGGTAACATTTATTGAACCATATATTTGTGTCTAACGTTATTTATCTTTTGTGTGTTTGAAATTATAATTCCACCTTTTAATGAATGATGTTCTGATAATAATATTATCCACTATTTTTGCTGATAATAAGTTTAAAAAAAATTATAAACATGACCTTTGAACATTTTTGTGAAATGAATATTGTTTTGTCATGATTCTGGACCATATTTTTGAAGAAAAAAAAATCTTCACGCAAATACAAGCTTTTGTCGATTGGCAAACATGCAGATATATAAAGTAATGCAACACTTATAGTCACTATCAATATTAATTCATTGAAGATAAGAGAGCCCCTTCAATGTCTAATGTCCCTATCTTTATAAGGATTAGGACGACAGGGGGAAAAGGAGCGGAGATAGAGTGGCATAGTGAAAAAAAAATAACCGAATAGAGAACAATATAGAGAATGATCGACGAAAAAGCGAAATAGTTATTGTAAAGGAGCGGAGATAAAGAGAGGCATAGTGAAAAAAATGTTTGCTTGACAAAGTTATTGCTCGCTTTGATATTTTTAGTTATACAAAATCACACATCGTGTACCTAATTGGTATTCACGTGCACTAACTTGATGCTGGGAACAGTATATTAATATATATGTTCCTGCTTGATGTGTAAAGTTTCTGCATAGCATGGTTAAAAATAATTAGTATCCCATTTATTATATCGTAGTGTCACGGTGTTACTTTGTTAAATTCATTTAGTTTGTTAATGATTGTGTAAATAAGAATAAATCTGTATAAAAACTTCATACCATTTTAGTGATTGCCTATAGGCGTTTGATTATTGTTACATTTAAGATATATATATATATATTTAGAACCTTTCATACATCTTAAAGTAAAAGATGTGTGTCTGAGTTAAACGACACAAGAACCCTGTAATACTAGTACGAGAGTATAGCATGTAAAAATTCCTACTCAATATGGTTGTATTGGAAATCTTTCCATACAGATTGACAACTCATGGTCCGACATGCATGTAATATTTGCCACATGACGCTCATAGTTCTTTCTACCATCATCATCTTATTCATTAAATATTGCTGTAAACATCGATGGTTCACACCCAAACAAAATGGGAGTAATATACCTTCAGATCTTTTCCGTGGTATACACTTGTGAAATATATAGACGAAATTGGTATTGAAGTGAATCTACATCTCACAAACACAATTTTTTAATTACGATTTTGAGTGAACACCCACCAAACCAATACAAACGTATGGCAAGATATAACCATGCAGGCATTTAGTTTTCGTCAGACACAAGATAAATAATCACTCTGATAAACGTATATATGCATGCAGTTTCAAATATCAAGAACAAGCGGTCGATGTCTATAGATCATTGTTAAGTCCGTTTACTAACTGTTCAGAGTCAGACATGTCAATAGTTCATTCTTTGAACCTTCATATACCCCATCCGCGATGGGAACTCTTTCTGATAGTGTTGACCACATAAGCTTGTTTATCTGTACAAATGGTTGCATGGCCTCTCCTGCCCCAACAAACAAATACGCTTCCAGTCTGCTATCTCTGGAGCTCATCCGCAATGGCGCATATACGTCAGGAAACTTACAAGTATACTAGTAAGATTGTTTCAAGAACAACGAGGTTGGGACGAACTGTTCTAAAATTGTCAATATCAGTAATACATTACTAAGATATGCCTTTAATTACAACAACTGTATTACCAGAGACATATATTGTATTATATGTCTCTGGTATTACTAATTTGGATTAATGACGGCTATCCTAAAATAAATCCTCAAACAAATTAATGTATTCGCTTAGATTTATAATGTATGTATATTCATTAATGAAATAAACGATAATTGGTATTCTTTTCACAAATAATTTGTCTAAGTGATTGTCAAATGAATTTAATTATGTAAGAATGAAATGTTGATAAGAAAATTAAAAAAAATCATGCATGTTGTACTGTTGTATTTTTTCAATTAAAAACTTTAAAATTGCGATAGTTTTACGATTGTTAGCATTTAAACATCGCCAGATTTAAATACAAGTTAAAGAATTCCGGTAAAGTAAATTAAACAGATGTGCAATGATTATTAATTGGGAAATGTAACATTTGATTTTTAAGATTAAAAGTACTATTCTTTTACTTCATATCTTAACTTTATGCTAATTGCATAGAACGTAACCGAAAATTGTTCCATTTTAATATTGTAACACTTCCGGAATTAAAAAGTTGAATGTTAATTTTCAATTAATTTATACAATTTAATTGTTGTTTCTCTATTGTCATCGGGTATTTCATCTGGGTATATTAAACACGCTATACTCTTTCTGTTAATCCATTCAAAATGACAATATTCACACCTGTGTACGCCTGAGGCTTAGTTGCTGCAAGGTAAAGTTCAAACGAATTCTCCTCAAATCGAGAAATAAACAATGACTTTACAAAATAATATACACTCTGTTCACAAATATTTTGCATTGAAATGGTTATCAAAGTTATAACGGTAAATAAAACTTAAAATATTTTCAGTTCATTATCAGTAAAAATGTTCTATAGATATTTTATGAAAAAATCTCAATAATTTATGAAATTTATTCGAAAATATTTATATTTAGATAACTTCATATAGGAAGTTTTATTCAATCAACACAAAACGGTACACACATATTCATTTTCTTTCATTCTTATATTGTGGTTATTAACTACGACCAACGGTCATCTGTGCGCTTTTAATTACGTAAAATTCTGATAAGCAATTAAGACTTTAACAGATTTTATTTTTTCCCATGATTCAACAAATCGGGTTAAAACGTCACAACCCAGTGACGTAGGTCAACCAAAAAAGTTACAAATACTCTATTTTCTCCGTTATTAGAAAGAATATAAATTTAAAACTTTGTGAATGTGTTTTTTATGTTAAGATGAACATATTTAGATGATAAGTAAAAAATCGCGGACTTTCCCTTTAACATGTACATGATGTAAGAGACCAAGTCATAAGAAGAAAATTAAAATGACTGTCTCTGGGTGAAAAATTAATGTTCTAACTAAATTGTCCTACAATTCTCTTATGAACATATCTTCAACTGGTATTTGCTTAGGGAATTTAAAAAAAAAATATTTCGATAATTATCTCCCTTTGACCACAACTTGCAGCTAAATTAAACAGATTGTCAGGTTTTTTAAATTCATATGGGTAAAAGCTTCAGTGTTTTCTCTAGAAACTTTATGCATTAATTTAGGCCCCATCATTTAAAATTTGAAATTCCCTTTTACTGTATACAAGTCCCACCCTTCAAAATTAATGACCTCCATGCCTATAAATAGTCACTCACCATCCTACCAAAAATTTCTAGGGAAAACACTGTGCTTGATTATAACATGTTCTTTTTCATATCAATATTAATTTTTGATAAAATTTACATGAGTTGACCATCAATAAATCAACAGACCAAGCAAGCAAATTGTAAGAGACTGACCTTGTTAAAAATGTGCTCAATACAATAGGTCAGTATGTTAGTAATACTTACACCTATAAATAGACCAAAACCTAGAAATCTGCCTGTTCTATGGAAATCATAATTATGTGTCCTTTCTATAAGTAACTGACATATACAATCTCCTGTAGCCATCAATGTCCCTGAAAATAGAAAAACACTTTCTGTAACACACTCATTATACCATCAATAAAAACAGAACCAGAGGCTGACCTGAGCCTTCATCACTTTCCTAACTTGTATTTCCATTGCCAATATATATATATGTAACGTAAATTCAGAAAATTTTGCAAATCTTATTTTTTCACTGCAAAAACTGCAATGGGACAAGTTTTCAAAAATGAAACTTTCAAGTAAATTTTGATAGCATTATTTCTATGCAGAATTTTCTAAAATGGCAATAATTTATGTATTATACTTCACATCAAAATGCCAGATTTTGATTGGATAATATGAGGGAGATAATTTACTCTATCCCATGATTCAGCGGGAGACAATTTTTTTAATGTCACCCTCTCGTGCAGACCAATAAAAAATCGATAATTTAAAGGACAATGAATTGAATTTACATCAACAAATTAAAGACAATGCTCATGGTCTTCATTTTGGCCTCAGAAGAACTTTTTAGTAGACTGTCAAAATAAAAATAAATTGTCTTGCTTCCATTCTGTTGTTTTTCTAATAACTGCATGTGTTACGTTGTTATGTGCGTGAAGTCATAGTTAAGAAGTTTCAATTTAAATTTTAACAGTAAAAGACACTAATGATAGAACATTCAATATAATAAATTGAATAACACATAGCTGAGACAATGTTTCCTCAGGTAACAATCTGCTCTATCACCCTCTCAGCTATGTGTTATTTATATAATGTCACATTTATGTCTATCATTAAACAATCGCATTAAAAAATACACACAAAAATGTTTGAAACAAATCATAGTCAGTTTTATAGACATCAGCTCCAAATTATTGTTAAAGTTCTCACCTTTATTGCTCTACCAAGTTTAGGTTTGGTAAAAGTTTTGAAATGGATTAATAAATGGAATTCTATCCCATATTATTCTTTTTTTTCCAAATTATTCCTTCTGAATATTAATGTGGTTCAGGATAACAAATCTTTATTTTCAAAATTTATATATGTTTTTGTACAAATGGCTGAATATTAAATTATGGTTACTGGTATTTCCATTGAAGGGAAGGGAATAAAAAGGTCAATTTTATATATGAACAAACAAAATTGGTTTGATACCACAGACTCTTGTAAATCTGGGTACAAGATGAATTCATGCTGTGCCATTATCACCTTAATCTATATTGCCCTAAATTCATGTACTTAATACACTAATTGACATTTTCAACAGAGTAAAAAATAACAAGTTATGTAATCTTTACAGAAAATATCTACTGGTAAAATGAATAATTCAGCATCAAAGTTTTAGAATGTCTAACCAAATCAATAAGATGTGTAATAACACTTGAGAAAATATAATGGCAATATCACCACCAGAAAGTACATCTCCTGCTGACTCAAGCATTCAAGTGTACTGAGACTTATAACCTAAAGTACATCTTTTATACTACCTTTTAATCAATGTTTATATAGTTACAACAGAAACCTATATATTCAACCATGCAAACAGAGTCATGCTATCATTTAATGTTTAGAAACTTAATATCAAAAGAAAATAAATTAAAGGACCAAAATTATAATACCACAACAATATGCTGACCAGGGAAAGTTAAACAAGTTCAATAATGATGGACACAATAATGTAAGACATACATGACACAGTTATTACCCTTATAATCTTATTTTTCTGAAATCCCAATGATTTGATAATCTCGTATTGTTGTTCATTCTTCACAAATTGCAATTATAAATGCACACAATAATTTCTGAATTTTATACAGTAGTACTGCTAGATATTTAACTGTTTTTTTCTAACAAGAGGACTAATATGAATGTGCAACTAGATATGGTAAAATTAAACAACTTTGAATTTGACTTGTTACTTTTATTGTATTCCCAGGTACAAATTGAACAATAGAAAAAAATAAGATACATATGGCCCTTTGTATTATAGTAAAAACCGATCATTGTAGCGCAGCAAGCGAACGAGCACTTCTCTTTCAAATCTCACCACTTCTCCCTCTCAGTTTCAAAAAGAGAAGTCACTTCTCCCTATGATTTTGAAGTAGTGTGAGCCCTGCAGTACATAATCTGAACTTTCAAGTCAGTTGGAAACTTTATTTACCATTACTAAGGTTTGGACCTTGCATTATAACTTATAAGTATTATCATGATTATATCATGTTAGACAACAACAGTGACAATAGTCACATTAATGACTAAAAGTTCTAATTTCAACCCACCAGACTGATCCTTCATTCAAAAGGGGTATCACAAATACCCAATATAAAAATAAGGAGATGTGGTATGATTGCCAATGAGACAACTATCCACCAAAGTAAAAATGAAGTGGATGTAAGCAATTAAGCAACAAAAAAAACAAAAAAAACTATACAGTATCATGAAGACCCCAAACATGAAAAATGTGAAACAATTCAAGCTCAACATCCTAATTTTAATTGTTTAACAAAACAATTTACGGAAATGTATAAATGTTTGCCTAGCTTGTTACATTGTTATTATTTAAATGTTTAAAATCAAGTACTATCAATTATGACATGTATGATATTTAGAGTAAAATGCATTAGTCCAACAAAGACATGTTCATAAAGACATTGAAAACTGTTAATGTAATGGCAGACTAAAATTACACAATTCTGCATCAATATTTGCAAGAAATTAATACACTAATATTTAAAATTCAAACTAGCTAGTTGCCAAGCCAACTGCATCTGTATTACTATGGACTGAGACATAAAAGGAATAATCATTAAAAATAACAATACCTGTGGAAACAGCACATGTTGACATGGGATGCCGAAAGTGGGCATAAGAATAAATTCTCAAAGCAAACGCCATCACAAATACACAAAGTTTACTTCGTTTTTTATGATCTATGGAAAATTTCCACTCATTCTGTCATGGTTTAAATTCATGTGAAGCAGCAACCGTGAATAATTCATTCATTCATGACTTTAAACTGGCTCAAGTCAATAAAATCCATTAGTTTACAATATTACTACAGTGCAGTGAAAGAGAATTTGTTTACTACATGAAGGTACATATTGAATTGTTAATGTTTATAAGTATATATCTATATAAAATACATAATTTTGGCAGACTTCCATCTGTCTAAGTTAACTGATTCATTTAATATTCATATTTATTTAATTATCATTGCACATGTACTTATATCATGACGTGTATAAAAAAAATTACTGAAATTTGTATAAATAACAATAATTGCACTTGAGCTGCGTGGATAGAAATCAACATTATGCAAATGAATATCAAAACATCTATATAACCTATTTCAGGTTGAAAAATCTCAACAGAAAGTCTGTAACTTTGAAAATTGAGTTGTTATAAGAACCCTACAAAACAGACCAAAATTCATCTTTTATTTCCTATTTGAAAGTTCTAAAATCAATCAAAGTCTCACGTACATGTATAAATTATGTGCACTTGCATAAAGTCAATTTCTATCCAATAGAGCTCACTTGTTAACATGGTTCATGTGGTGAATCACATTGAAGACATCAGCTACTATTAGACTTTACTTACTACATTTGCACTAAATAAAAAAAAAAACAAAAAAAAACCCCTGAAATTGTGTACAACACTTTCAGCACTATTGTGGCATTTCTTGGCAGTCATTTTTTATTGGGGGATTAAGCCGGAGTACCAGAAGAGAATCACCAACCATCTGTAGGAAAACTGACAATCCTAGTCAATTAAGATTGTAGTCGAGACCACCTGCCATGTGCACGATGTGCAGGATTCGAACTCACAACCTCAGTGTTGACAGGCTAGTGATATAGTGGTTCAACTACTTAGACCGCTTTGCCACCGAAATTATATAAACACTTGAATTAAATTAGCCACCTCTTGCCTATATCATGTATACAAGCATTTTTGTTTACTTTTCCTCTGAAAAAAAAATTTATACACATGCCCTGATGAAAATTAGCTAGATCATCCCTATATAATATTTTTGTTAACTTTTGTTATTTCTTGTAAGAAAAATTATTGTATGAATAAAACTGAGATTTTTGTATATACATGTCAAAAGACATATCAATAAATAACACAAAATCCTAAAACTGATTTGATTTCTAATTTTAAGCACTTTTAACACCGGTTGTTTCTCTTTGTCAATTCCAGACTGGTTCTATAACAGACAAAATGGGCTAGCCTACTGCCCAAGCAAAGCATGATAAGGTGAAAGTTATATATCATGTATATAGGGTTATAACCAATTTGTATTGAAAAATAACTATTGATATCAAAAGCAATGGCGGATCCAGAATTTTTCATAAGGAGGGGGGCCCACTGACTGCCTAAGAGGGGGCCCGCTCCAGTCATGCTTCAGTGATTCCCTAAATAATCAACCAAATTTTTCCCACAAAAGGGGGGGCCCGGGCCCCCTGGAAAACCCTCTAAATCCGCCTCTGAAAAGTTATAGTTTTTAGTACCGTTAATCATTGATGTCATAAAGTCCCTTACAAGAAAAGTTGTGATTAGATTTAAGAGTATCAAACATCCAGCATAATCAACACTAAATTAAGTAAGGTTTAAGTCAGGTACGGATCCATAGAGGGTTAATAAAATCCATAGGGGGTGAGGCCGATTAAGGTAAGATTTAAGTCAAACCAGGTCATCCATGAATTATTTGTATATATACAATTTACAGATGAATACCCACTTTACAGGAGATATATTTAATAAGAGTTAAAGCTAAAGTATCTTTATATATGTTTAAGTAACAAATATTTGTGACCTTGTTCAATGAATCAAATAATTTTTCCAACAGGTGATTGATAAAGTGGCAATAATTGCATGTAAGAGGGTCTTGATGCAGGGTATATACTTCAAATTTTTAGACCATGTTTCTCATTATTTTCTCTTCTTTATGATTTAGCACCCCATTATTCTCTATTCTTTCTTTTTTGGCCCATTTTTCTCTATTATTTCATGTATTTGTTTTTGGGTCAAATTTTTCTGCAGTATTGATGCATTATTCTCCATTCTGTTAACCCCAACCAGACCCTCATGTGCTTGTAACCTTTACAGATGGATACTTTAAGTAATTGTATTAAGACTTTAAACATCTTACTATACTGTGAAACCAGTCTAAGGTTTTACTACAAGTATCACATAAGCTTAAACATGTTAAAACTATCAATGTTCTATAAAAAATGAGGTCATGGTCAGATGAAACATGTCATGTACCGGGGTATATCTCACAATCATTCCATGAACCAAAAATAGTTGACCTAATGCTTACAGTATCTGAGATATGGACTTGACCACGTTATTTAAACCTTAATCACCAATTCATGAAAGAGGTCGAGGTCAGGTGACCCCTACTGACAGTCATGAAGACATTGCAAGGAACCCATACACCAAATATAGTTATCCTATTACTCATAATAAGTGAGTATTTTACTTTCATGACTTTAAAAAACAAGAGTGCACATGCTGAAATGTCTCGCCTGTTTTCCTGACCATTGATTTTATGTGAAAGTCTTAAAGATAAATTTTTACTACAAGTATCACATAAACTTAACATTTTTAAAGATCCATGACAATGAGGTCAAGGTTAGATAAAACCTGTCACATAGACATGTACACCTTAAAATTATTCAATACACCAACTATAGTTGACCCATTGACTATGGTACATTAATTGAAAAACTTACCAAAACACAAAAAATTAACAATGACCAATGAACCATGAAAATGAGGTCAAGGTCAGATGAAACCTGTCATTCTGACATGTACCCCTTACAATCATTCCATACACCACATATAGTAGATCTGCTGCTTGTAGTATCTGAGAAACAGACCTAATCACGTAACTTCAACCTTGATCACTGATCCATGAATTGAGGTCAAGGTCAGATTAACCCTGTCTGACAGAATGTAAACGTAGCAAGGAACCCATATACCAAATATAGTTATCCTATTACTCATAATAAGTGAGAAATTCACATGACAAAAAAACTAATTCTTTTTCAAGCATTCATTATCACTGAACCATGAAAATGAGTTCAAGGACAATGGGCATATGACAAGACGGAATTTTCGTAACATATGTTATCTGCAAACAAGGTATGAAGCATCCAGGTCTTCTACCTTCTAAAATATAAAGCTTTATACAAATAGTTTACACTGCCACCGGATAGTAATACTTATGTCATGTATGTCTCGCATACTATGACAGGCGAGACAAAAACTTTAATATTTTTTCAAGCAGTCACTGAACCATGAAAATGAGGTCAAGGAAAATGGACATTTACAGATCTATTAGCTGAGAAACAGATCAAACCACAAAATCTTAACATTGACCAACATGACCAATGAACCATGAAAATTAGGTCAAGGTATATAATATGAACCTAGTCCAATTAATTATGACGTCTTGAAAGATTATTTTAATTCTTTTCTGTGACGCATTCCTCGTCACAGAAAAAAATTAAAATAGTCTTTCAAGACATCATAATTATTGGGACTAATATGAACCCTGCTAGACAAACATGCCTTAAAATCAATCCATACACCAAATATAATTGACCTACATGTGTTGTTTAAAGTTACTGATAAACTGACTGTCATGAGAGGGGGCATCTGAAAGGTTTAACCCAACTTAGTTTATTTATTTTTACACCTTCTGCAGGAATGGAAAAAAATTCCCATCAAAATCCAAAAAAGATTTTATCTGTTTCAAAGGGTCTCATTAATTAGCGACAAAGAGCGTCAAGAAAAATTATTTAGCGACAATGAAGAAAAATAATTTAGTGACAAGAAACCAAATTAAGTGTAAAAAAATCCAAACATTATATATTTCAAAAAAATAAATATTGAAACATATGTTAAAGTGTCATTTTTTTCTATACAAGAGTTTCATTATTTCATTGTATGGAAACATAGAAATAAACACATGTTCAAATGATGTTAAAGAAAACATTTTTTATCATTATCAAGAATATTTTAAAAATAATATCATGAATATATCCACTGTTTACAGCATAGTGTATAAATGAATGAATCAATATTTATGTAGTCAGCATGGTTGATGTCATAAGCATGATAAGTTGAAAATAAACTGACAAGGCCATGGCTCAAAAAGAAAAAGACTAACAGACAAACAACAGTATGTACATAAAACACAACATAGAAGACTAAAGACTGAGCAAAACAAACCCCATCAAAAACTTGGGGTGATCTCAGATGCTCTGGAAGGGTAAGCAGATCCTGCTCCACATGTGGCACTGACGTTTAAGGCCTGTTGTCAGATTCAAACCAAATTATAAGATAATCTATTCTTTATTTATTTCAGACTCATAAGGTCTGTATATATACTGAGTGCCAATGAAAACGCAACACTAAGTTTTTTAGAAATAACATTTTTATACAAAATAATATTTTCTATATAGTAATTGTTAATGACAGTTAAAGGGTATATCTAAAGATAAAAGTCAAACAAAAATGTTCAATTGCCACGATTCGAATGCAATACGGTTATGCATCACAACGCTACAGTTCACTAACTCACAGTCTCAATAACGAATGTGTCCACCGCGTGCTGCAACGCAAGCTCTACAACGACGTGGCATTGACCTGACCAGACGTCGGATACGGTGTTGCGGAATGTTTGTCCATTCTTCCTGCAATGCAATTTCGAGTTGGCGCAGCGTAACTGGTGGTGGTTGTCGTCGTCTTACGGCTTGTCCAATTTGATCCCATAAGTGTTCAATTGGACTCAAATCCGGCGAAAAGGCTGGCCATGGTAATGTCTGAACATGGTTGTTGTTGATAAACGAAGTTGTGAGTAGTGCGGAGTGTGCACAAGCGTTATCTTGCTGAAAAAGATTAACATCTTGATGCCTAGCCATAAACGGTATAACGGTCGTCCGTAAAACTTCATCAATGTAGCGTTGAGCGTTTAAATTGCCATTGATAGTGATGAGCGGAGTTTTATGGTTGAATGATATTCCTCCCCATACCATGACACTACCATCACCCCAACGATCTGTCTCTTGGATACACGAATCTGCATAGCGTTCTCCTCTTCGTCTCCACACACGAGTTCGTCCATCACTACGGCGAAGATGGAATCTTGATTCGTCCGTCCATAAGACAGTTGTCCATTGCCTGTGTGACCATCTCTGACGCTGTTGTGTCCATCTAAAGCGATTTTGGCGTCGTACTGCTGTCAGCATGTTACCACGGAAAGGCCTCCATGCCCTTAATCCACTGCTGCGCAAACGGCGTCTTACCTTGTTTGCTCCAATTTGTCTCCTATGGACGCCGACAGTCTCCCGTGCTGTTTGGACAGCCGTACGGAACCGATCTCGCAGATGCTGGAGACAAATGTATCGGTCCTGTAAGGCAGTAGTTGCTCTCTGTCTTCCGGGACGTGGTCTATCATTCAAAGACCCAGTTTGGTTGAATCTTTGGATAAGTCTGGTAATTGTTGAGGCTGAACACTGCATTCTGCGTGCAATTTCACGACTTGAAATGCCTAGCACCATGCCCCAAACTTCATGTCTCTGGTTGTCTGAAAGTTTTGGCATCTACGCCTTAGTTTATTGCAGTGGCTTACAAAAAAGCATGGGAAAGTTAAATTCTTAAGCGAGGCTTTCCAAAACACACAATGAAAAAATCGCTTGTGCGAAAAATAGCGGTGCACTCGAATCACCCCCTTTTTCTGTAACAAAGCACGT